AGACAGCAGGATATGCATGTAGAGCTGGAAGAGGAGACCCAGTGTATTACACTGATGACAGTGAACCTCAGTTTGTCTGGTCTGGAGGTCAGTTTGTTTTTGTTGTTTCAAGAAGCAGATGTTATGTCATCAGATTATTTCATCATTTTCTTTGTCTGTGACCAACATTCAGTTTCTTAAAGGCTCATATCCATGTTGACAAATGTTCAACTGTGTTTTATGGTCCCTTCATGCAAGATAATAATTTAAATGCATTTTCCCTTTTTAATTTGACAGTGACAGATGTAAGATGTTAAAACCTTTTCTTTGTAATTAATGTCTTTTTACTTTGAATACTTGAATACTTTATTGCATCATACTGTTTATACAAAATATTTAATCGTATGCAACTGACAGGATATGTAGAGTTATGTCCCTTATTGGTCAGTTAAACGTGTGGACAGAGAGTCCAATTCAGGGAATTAGCAGCAGCAGCAGCAGTCAGCAGGCAGGTTGGTGAATGAGGTAAATAAAGAGCTGAGATAACTGTCAGGAATACATTAAAAACAAACACTGAGGAAATATAATACTGAAGAATCTGAACTTAGACTGATGTTGTAATTGAATCATATTTCATTCTGACTGGATCTTCAGGGCTTGTTAATGCTTGCTTAATGTACACTATATGATTGAGACATGCAGCTGTGGTTAGACCGACATAAGCCCAGTGCCATTATGTGGCAACCACATCTCGTACATGTTGCAGCATGTCTGACCCAGAGTTTGAACTGTCAGGTCAAAGGTTTTACAAATTCATGCTGCCCTTCTTGTGGGATAGTGAAGCTCTTGAAGGTGTTTTATGTGGTGAAGCTCCATCACGGTTACAATCCTATATACAGTGAATATTGAACTAAATCTTGACTTTTAAAAACATTATAATGCAAATCAAGTAGAACAAGTAAAATTGCAATATTCAATATTTTCCCCAAATTGTTCAGCCCTAGTTTGCACTGATCTTCAGCAGTACAAAAGAAAGACAAAGGACAAAGGAATTTTCCCACTAGTAGTTTTTGCAATGAATTTGTCTGTACTCTGTTTGACTTTTAATCTTTTCATCTTGTCATGATGTTTTTTTTTCCAGATTCTAATTCCGTAGCGTCTCTCACAGTGATTCCTGACAGAGTGCAACACTTTACCCGTGGGTCTGTCTCACTGAACTGTGAGGGGAACTCGACTGAGTGGACAGTGATGAGGTTTACTGAAGGAGGCCGCTCGTCGTACTTGTCAGGCTGCAGAAAGATAACGACTGAATCTACATGCAGCCTCGACACATCACAGTTGAGGAGTGCTGTGTACTGGTGTGAGTCTGGATCAGGAGAGTTCAGCAGCGCTGTCAACATCACTGTACAGGGTATGTTTGATTTGCTTTCTTGCATTTAAATGATCATCACAAGTGATTTAATATACCTTGTTTACACTGACAGTAATGGAGTTTGTGCCATTACTTTCCTATGAATTAGATTTTCAGTAATATTTGACTAAATGGACTGAAAAAAAAAACTGAAGTCGACTGAATGTAAAGAAATTTTTATGAAAATCTTCTGTCAGTTGTTTGTCACAGCAGAGCAGCATACAACTCTCGGTAGTCGATTTTATTTCATTTGCTTATGCGCTTCACAAATGTTTGCTCTTTGAGTAAATACTGTTTAACTTCTTCTTTCCAAAGAAGTTTTTTTATGTTTTGCAAAAACAACTAAAATGCTTGAGACTTGATGTGAACAAGGCGCTGATTTATTGTGTCATAGAAACAAGAGCTGTCAAAATTTGTATTTTTTATTTTTAACACAATCAGTGAGGTGCTCGTCATATGCAAACAGAATGCATGTGCAGAAATAGCACTAAAAGAGTTGTCAATTTAAAACGGGAATGAAATGTTCTTCTTCTTCGAGAAAAAGGAGATTTATAGAGGCAAACCTACTGGTGCAAATTAATGGCTAAATGTTGAGTACCCCAGAGTTCTGCTCTAAACCTAACTAGCCATACCTTCGCTTTTTATCTATGTGGCAATGAGTAAATATCACATCAGCACCATCACAAATCCAGCTTTTGTCTCGTTTGGTTCCCATAGAGAACAGTCATATATTGCCCTCCATTATCATGAAGGTTTGGTTTGCTCAAATCAAATCAAGTTTATTGTCATTTTGCTATACATACAACAGAAGTACAAACAAGATGAGAGAGCGTTTCTTCAGGATCCAAAAACTAAAAGCAATTAAATAAAGAAGTGTTTGCATATCCGGATCAGCAGTTCAGCATTCTGACAGCTTGTGGCATGAAGCTGTTGATCAGTCTGGAGGTTGTTCCTTGAATGCTCTGGAAACGTTTGCCTGATGGCAGTAGTTTAAACACTTTACAGAGAGGGTGTGAGGAGTCCCTGACAATGTTCAGTGTCCTGCTCCTGCAGCGGCTCTGGGACAGTTCAGAGCGAGCTGCCTTTCTGTCCGCACGGAACGATGTCGTCCCCTCCAGCTGTATGGCCATCTGGGATGTTGTCATGGAGCCATGCCTCCGCAAAGGCAATCACACAGCAGTCCCTCCACTCTCTGGGGGCTTCTCCCAGCAAACGTAGCTCCAAAATCCAGCTTGTTGTCGAGGGAGTAGACATCAGAGAGTGGGAAGACGGTCCTGCTGGTCTGGAGGGGTTAGCCTTTAGCCAAGCATGGATCCCAGCTCTCTTCGTCCTCCTTTGTTTATGTTTGTACCGCTTGCGCTTCCTTCTCTCTCGGGTAACTGCCGGCATAGTCTCCGATCGGACTCCGTCTTGGTGTAGTCTGTCCAAATCACAACCGGCCGCCGCAATTTTAGGGACGTTTATTGCCCTGATGTTCAGCAAAGTCTCTCGGCTGTAAGTTTTGCAGAATGAACGTCTGGGATAGACAAGACACTCCAAACTTTCACTCTCGCTTTCTCCTGAAGGGGCTGCTGCGTTGATGTGTGATGCGCGCTGCCGTCTCTATGGAAACCATAGAGATTTGGTGATCTGAACTTACCTTTATATGTCCGTAATTTCAATTCCAAACAAGAACTTTATCATGTGTGGGACACTGTAGAAAGATAGTTTATTTTCCAAAAGCTTGCTGTAAGACACATGCAGTGGTTTGTTCGTACACATGGTCAAATGTCAAAGCTTTATTATGACGATCCTACAAAAGAGTCACCACGTAATAATAAAACCATATGTGCAGTTCATTCCCATGATTGCACGTGAGCTCTTACTGAAGGTCTGGACAACCTGATCTGACTGAGACAAAATCGTTTGACTCTTCCACAGCTGCTGATATTATCCTGGGGAGCCCTGTCCATCCTGTGAGTGAGGGAGCTGCTGTCAGTCTGAGCTGCATTATGAGAAGACAGAAGATGGTGTCCAATGTTTTTTTCTTTCAAAATGAGAAACTTGTCCAAAACGATACCAGAGCTGAGCTGAATATCTCTGCAGTGTCCAAGTCAGACGAAGGCTTCTACAAGTGTCAATATTCAGGACGAGTGTCACCACAGAGTTGGCTGTCAGTTAANTTCAGTCTAAGAGAGATTTTTAAAACCACTTGTCATGTCTTGCCTTATTACTTCCTCTCAGTGTCACTGCTGATACTTTACAATCAGGGCAAAATCCATAATGAAGAAATGTCATTGGTCACAGTGAAACATCAGGAGAGCAAGGAATGTCAGTGTATGCCTTGTGCTTTTCCACTACAAACTAAATGCAGCAAAAACACTGAATCTCTGTCAACTGCTTTACCTCACCAACAGAGCAAAAGAATGTTTAACTGAAGGAATCCTCATGTTCTACTGATATGACTTTTTAGTAACAAACTCTTGTATTAACGTAGTTTTGCTTCAGGCAGCTACACATATGTGCCACTGCGTTGTGATGCAGGTAGTTCAGGTGTTTGTTTTTGTTTTAGTTTTTTTTGCACATACTACTGCTGATATAGTTGTTTTTAATTTGTTTTTATTTTTTAAATAGTCTGGTCTCATCAGCAAAGCATGCTGACTCTTTACTGAGCACCAGACTTTAGTACATTGAAGACTGATCTGCTACATTTGAAATTCAGTTACATTTTTATTATTAAGATATGTTCCACTGATGAACTTTATTGATGTAAATAAGTTTATTGACGTAAATAAATAAAACATAATAAAAGAAATGTTGACGGGCATCAGTGTCACAATAGCTTCTTGACATTATGGCTACGAGTTTTCAAATTCAGAAATGATAATGTCCAACATAATGCTTCTGTTTCATTTAGAGTTTGTTCATGTAAGAATCTGGACTCAGCTGCTGTATCTTAAAAGAGACCCTATGGCTTGAGTTCAGGTCTGGTTTCTATCAATGTGTAGATGAGTGAAGAACCTCCCATGTGGAACTCTATTTTCTATGTGGACCAGTTTAACGTATAATTTGTAATGTGATTTATGGATGATTAAAAAGAATACCTAGTTATAAAAGTATGACAAAAACATTGACTATTGTGCTGCACATCTGTTATTAAAACAGTTTGTCACATGCTACTTTATGGTAGCAGACAAATTAATTTGTGAAAGTCAAGTCAGTGTGCATGAAAAGGCTGGATATAAGTTGGGTGTAATCAGAATACATCTGTAATAACTGTCCGTGTTGCAAGTCTGGTCAGGGTTAGAAGTCTTTTGTGCAATTTTGTCCAAAAAAAACCAACATTTTTTCTGTCCTAATCATGTATTGGTGTTTTTCACTGTCAACTGAACAGCATCTGAACCCTGGGCCTCACTGACAGCAGACAGGAGAATCATACCAGCAGGGGGCAGTGTGACACTGACCTGCTATGTGAATGAAGGCTCAAGATGGAAGTACTACTGGTTCAGACGTACCTCATGGTCCTCTACACCTGAGACAATAGAAGATGATGCTCTATCCCACACCATCAGTATTTCAGAAGGAGGAATCTATCACTGCAGAGGAGGAAGAGGAGACCCAGTTTTCTATTCAAAGGAAAGTTATTCCATCACAATTGACAAAGGAGGTGAGTGCATTCATGACTAACATTACAATGATACCTGATAGTCACAGCGCTTTTGCTTATTTCATATTCTTTCTTTTTTTTCCACTTTGTGTATATTTGTAACAACAGTTTTCAACAAAGCTGTCGTCACACGGCATCCCAACTGGCCTCAGATATTCAGAGGGGAGAAGATAACTCTGAGATGTGAGATCCAAGATGGTGGAAACATTCAGTGGAAGTATGAATGGAGAACTTCCAGTTCAGAAAAACACCCAGAACACACTGAACACTGGGTTATCAGTGCTTCTCAGTCCAGTGATGGAGATTACTGGTGCAGAGGTAAACTGAAAAGTGACTCGTTTTCCTCAACAGAGTGGAGTGATGCCATTACAATACCTGTAACATGTAAGTCTTCTTCATTCACAGCATTTCATTCATTTTGTTTGAGTAAAATTTTTAGATTCTCACAAAGTAAATAAGTGTAGTCACATTTTCAAACGAACTCATTTGATGATCGCAGTGATGAATTGTTTGTGGCCATGGTACAGTTATAGTTCCACCATTAAAGGTTCATGATATTTGTTATTTCCAGTATTCCATCAATTAATTTAATGGGGCCTTAATCATGGGGCCAGTTCTTAATTTTTTGTTTTTGTTTTGAACTTAAAAGTTCTTAGTATTTAGACATATTGAGATTTGAGATGCTAGACATTTAGATGGACTTAAAGTTTGTAATATACTATATATTGTTTATGAAGGCAACATTTTTGGAGAAATTGTACTTGAAGTTCAGAGACTACACATGACACATGTTTTATTCTGTAATCCTTCATTCCACCAGCTAAAGGCAAAGCTGTCCTCACTGTGTCTCCATCATGGCTGAGTCCTGGAGCCTCAGTAACTCTGAGCTGTCAGGTTGAACATCCATCTGCAGGATGGAGGTTCTACTGGTATAAGGCTGTTCCTGATCTATCACACAACTCCTACAGTTATGAGCTGCTGCCTGGTAGCAGCAACGGGACTGAAGAAGATTCCTACATTGTTGATGGACAGACACAGGCAGCAGGATATGCATGTAGAGCTGGAAGAGGAGACCCAGTGTATTACACTGATGACAGTGGACTTCAGTTTGTCTGGTCTGGAGGTCAGTTTGTTTTTGTTGTTTCAAGAAGCAGATGTTATGTCATCAGCTTATTTCATCATTTTCTTTGTCTGTGACCAACATTCAGTTTCTTAAAGGCTCATATCCATGTTGACAAATGTTAAATGTTAAAATGGTCCCTTCATGCAAGACAATAAATGGCATTTTCCCTTTTTAATTTGACAGTGATAGAGATGTAAGATATTAAAACCTCGTCTTTGCAATTAATATGTC